TATATATATATATATATATACACACATACACACACAAAATTTCAAAGTAACATCAAAACATGCGACAATAACTGAAGAGCTTGAGAACGTAAAGGATGTTTATTTTCGTTCGCTGGACTGCATAACAATATTATCATAAGTAAACTACATCGATTGTGTAATCAATTGCAGATATAGGAATTTTGAAGTTGTGGCATGCATCGCAATGTGTCTAAATCCACCCTATATATACGCGCATTACTCGAGCAAACGATGAGGAATATCCAAGGAAAATCTCCATGCGATAGTCAGGATTTTCTTCAAATTGTCATCGCGCGAAGTGAGAAAGAAAGAGAATTTTTCAAACCACTACTCGCCCAAACAAACTCGTATCTCTAAACAAATGCAACACCGAGATAAACCAGAAAAATTGTACAAGCACAAACAGGACAGATTGTATAAAAGTAATTTCACAGAGTGACGACAATATATTTAATTTCATTTTAAAGCCTTAAGTCGTTCCAATTTAATTAATTGAAGTTGGAGATTGCGATTTTACGACAGTATATATGTATATGCATACACACACACACACACACACACACACACACACACCACACACACACACACACACACACACACACACACACACACACACACACACACACACACACACACACCCATATATATATATAAATACCGACGAATCTTTCGAACTACCACTCTGTGATAGTCGCTGTGAACTGACTGTCGCGGAGAATGCGAGTTAGTTTCCGCCGGAATGTTGGAATATCGCCTGAATCAGGTGCATTCAGCGCTGCGCATCGTGCGTTCATATAGCCATGTAGCACGCAGCACGCAGGAGAGATAGTGGAGGCCAGCCTGCGGCGATCATCGCCGTGGAAATGGCCCTGGGTCGCCGCAAGGCGGCGGTGGAGGGTACGAAGGGGAGTATTATGCACGCAACATTTACATGACAATCCCAACGGTGCGCGCGGGCGGAACTATCGATCTGTGGTTTGACGCCTGAACTCGAGTGCCGCCCAGTGAATTAACCCCAAATTATAGAGCCGACAATAACCCCGAACGCGCGCGGACGAACGGGGGTGGCGCGCGACCGGGTCGAGTTGATTCGAGGCAGCTAGGCTGTTTGCCCCGCGGCGTAAATCAGAATATCCCCTTCTATTCGCATTGCGTGCCACGCCCCGCTATTCGCGGGCCCAACGTTCCAGTGCCCGTGAACCGCATCACTTGTGTTGTCGACGACATTTTCACTTGCCACAAAACATATTCCTTAGCCAGTAAGTCTTCATTAGAGATTCTCAAGTAAAGCTTGTGACACGTAATGCTTGTTTTCCTCCTGGTTTTGCTTGCGTTTTAGTAAATTACTATAAGAATTATATCACGCAAAATGAGAATTTTTTAGTAATTTACTAAAATGCAAGCAATTTAACAGAAAAACAAGCATCGTGTACTGCAGGCTTAAAAGATTAGACATTTTTAGATAATTTTTTGATTGAATCGTTATATTTTTTAGAACCTGCTCGAGACAGAATGAGATAAATACTTAAAAATGAGATACGTGGATATTTCATTTTATCTTAAGCAGGTTCTGAAAAATATTGTGGACCAAAAGTATGGTATCCAATCTCTTACTTAAGTATCTCTAGTTTCCATTAATCAGTAATCTTTTTTTTTAGGGAAGGAGGCTAATCTCTTCCATTTACCATCTATCAAATCATTTAAAATGGAACAATCGTTTGGATTTTCAAATTTCTATATGATCTGCAGATGGTTAAATTCCCTGATGTGAACGTAAGATATAAGCTTATGCAACTTTGAAATTTGAAATTGTTACGGCTCAATTTCTCTACGTGACAGTTTGACAGTCTTTCTATTCTAAGTATATTTCCGTCCCCATTAATTTATAAATAACACAATATATAGTAATGTAAGATGACACAAAGTTAAGTACATAATTAATACGTGTAATGATTATTGCCTTTCTGACTCAATTTTCAGACCTAGTTCCATCCAGCAAAGACACGATCTATTTCTGAAAAGCTCTTCATTTTCATTCGTTTATAACTCGAGAAATTAAAAGAGTCCTGACATTTTCATTAAAGGCTAATCAACTTCGAACTGGTCAAAGAGCCTGTCATTGAAATTAAGCTTGTGTCGAAGTGCTACATCATTCCTGCCGCTTCCATTTTTCTCGGTGCAACAGCAACATGCTTCTCGTATCTCCATGCTGTCGATACACGTGAAACGTTTCCATTAATTTTGGCGAGTTATACGTCGATCGTGTGTATCGCTTTCATGCACGGTGGATTGGTATAATCCTTGACAGATTTGCAGTGCAACGCGACAACGGTGATTCCGCCATCGACATCGTTCGCGCGACTTTGTCGCGAGCGATTACTCCGGCCGGGCTATTACACGTCCGGGCTTTGTGTCATTAATGCATGCAAACAGCGCGTACTGTCTGCAATTCATTGAGACCGATGATTCCGCTTCGCCTCGTTATTTACCCCGACTGCATCGATTCCATGGCGCGCCGTCAACAAAATGGAAGTTTGCCAGAATCGGAGTCGGAAAATAATTTAACGCTCCGCGTGATTGTCCCGATCTTGTGTTTAATATCGTGTTTATTATCGTGAAATTCATGAGCGCGTAAAGAGCGGCGAAAGTATTATTGAAATACTGATCGGATATCGCGAGGCTCCCATGATAGTCAATTCCTAATAACATAAAAAAAGATTAAGTTTCTTATAAATCTGGAATTTGTTACCCGCGAAATGAATTAATTACAAAACTAGTAACAAAGAAAACTTTCGACTGATAAAAATTGGAACTAACAAAATCATTAAAATAATAAGTTAGAAATAGGTTTTGATTTACATCTAAAGTTGCAATAAAATATATGTTATCCGTATTGCAGATAAGTGTAGATTTAGGGATTGTCCAGTAATGCAAGTATTTTGTACGTATGTACAACAAGATATTCTGTTTTTCTAATCTA